ACGGCTAAATACAATGGCCGCTTGAATTTAACGGCGGTAACAGAGCAAAACAAGAGCAAAAATGTATGGTATAATGATAGAAGTACAATGTACAAGATAATGTTGCTTTGTGTTACACCAACACATTTATTATACCAAAAATACCCTAACCTTCATTAGTGTTTATAAATTTATAATATTTTAGAAATAATGCAAGGGTGATTCATAACAGTATGAAGAGGGAAGACGGAAGATCACCGGAAGGTTCTCACCACTCATCTCTCTCTAAGCGTAAAAAGAATGGACTCCTAGGGTTTTTGGAAACGGCCGACATTCTCATTCCTTCTGTTTGGATTTATTATGTCTCAAACTGGACCTCTCTCCTTGGACCTAGCCATTTGGACGCACACGGGTCCCAACTCTTCAACACCCAAACGTTCTTTTTCTTACTTTGATCTTTTTGCTCTTTTTAATTCAGGGACTTAGATCCCTGCCGATGGATTCCGGATGATTTTAATAGAGTGGATAAGTATTCCGTGACGCTTACCGCACCTGAATGGGTGATTTTCGAGATTTAAAAAAAGGGATTCATAATACGGAAATTGTCCTAAATAGGACTAAAAAGTTCCTAAAAAGCACAAATAGGACTACTATTTTTAAAATTCCCTAAATAGGACTAAACATTGATTTTCTACCCTAAATACCCCTAAGAGTATTAATTCATAACGAAATGCTTTAATTCATAATAAAATCACAAAAAACGTAAACAAATATTTAAAAAACATAAAAAAATTAAAAAAAATTATAAAACATTTATAAAATAAAAAATTTAATTTTTTATTTTTTTAATTTTTTTAAAAAAATAATAAAAAATAGTAAAAACCCATAAAAAATGAAAAAAATTATGGATACCTTTCTCACCGCCTCCCGCCGCCTCCCAGCACCACCACCTTCGATTGGTGAAATTTCTTCCACTTTTGGTAAAAAAATGCCATATTTTTCTGAAAATGCCAAAAAGATGGCATAATTACTCTTCAATATGCCAACATTTTCATTGATTATGCCATCATTATGGCATTATTTAAAATGTTGGCATATTTTTGTCCGGTGATGGGAGATGGTGGTGTTGGGGGTGGCAGGGGTGGTAATGTGTTTTTTTTAATTTAATGGTTTTTTTTATTTTTTTTTGTTTTTTTTAAAAAAAATATTTTTTTTATTTTTTTAAAAAAATATTTTTATTAATTTTCTATTATTTTTTTTATGATTTTTAGTATTTTTTTTATATTAATTTTTTTATGATTTTATTATTAATTAAAACATTTCACAAGTTACAAGGGTATATTTGTCCAAACACACATAAATAGTCCTATTAAGGGAATTTAAAAAATGTAGTCCTATTTGTGCAATTTTTCCACTTTTTAGTCCTATTTAGGGAATTCACTCTTCATAATAAGAGTATACATTAAGAGGCCGTTTGTTTTTCGGCGGGTTGATACCTACACACTCTGCAAAATGCAGCATTCGTAGTTCAAAAATATCAGTGGTTTGCTAAAAACGCCATTACCCAAACGGGGCCTAAATCAAAGTTATACATAATAATACAGATGTGAAAAACGTATGTGTTATTGTATATATGTCCTAGTTAGTTTTTTTCCCGTTTTAAACGCGTTTTACACACGTACCGTTTTTTTATACCAAAAAAACACGTTTGAAACGAAAAATAATGTCGGTCCGTTTAAAAAGAAAAAAAACTCTTACTTCCCGTGTAAGAGTTTATACGCAAAAAATAGAAACATGAATTGATCAACTGAATGAACGTGTTAAATGCATAGGAGATCAACAATAGTTTATACGCAAAAAAGAAAAGCTCCTCCATGTGACCCCGAGTTTTTGTATTGTTACAATACAATTATTAAATACGGAGTACTAAAACTAATTGCATAGCGGCTAAAGAGCATTTCGAATTTTACAAAAAAATAAAAACCTGAATTGATCAATTATATTGAATGAACGCATTAAATGAATAAAAGATTAACAATTGTTTAAAAGAAAAAAACTCCTCTCTGTGACAGTGTGACCCATATTTTTGTATTGTTAAAATACAATTATTAAATACTAAAATTAATTCCATGACGGCTAAAGGTAGCATCTTAAATGCCTAAAACTTAAAATTTAAACAAGCATGTCAAAATTAATTTTTAAACAAGCATGTCAAAATTAATTTTTTTTAAACCTGACATTTTTTTAGTATAAATTTATACACATACACAATAATAAGGGCGTGTAGCAGTCACACAACTTTTCTCATATGTCATTCGTCATCTTCATGAATATGATGAATTTTAAATTTTAAATTGAGTGTTATTTAATGATCATATAAAAATAAGGATTTTAACTTAGTCTCATTCTATTGTTATTATGTCATATTTGTTGACATTTGTTTGCAAGATTATGTCTTGAACTTAATTACTATTTTTATTTTTGTTATCCAATTATGCCATAACGAATACTTCTTTTATTTAGTAATGGGATTTGCTACTTGAATATGCTTATACTTTTTTTAATATATATGTGATATGCACAAATTAGTAGTGCATAAGTGTATGTTTTTATTTTTAATTTGTGTGGATTGTTTACCGTTTTATTTAGTTTGTAAACATTTGTGTGATTTTATTTGTAATTGTATTTTAATCTCATTTATAAGTTGTAAAGTAGAATTAGGAATTACGGTGTTGAAAAGGAGGATTTTGAAGTGAAGAAAAAAGGAGATTGGACTGTCCAGGAGCTGAAACCCGACCGGGTATAACACTTCACCCGGTCGGGTAAGATTTAACAGACGAAGGTGGCTGGAAATTACACAGACCCGTTCGGGTCAGATGTGACCCGGAACACCAGAACATGCCGAAGATCGTCAGAATGTGGAAAATATCTTATTTTGACCAAACCCGGTCGGGTCACCTAGGGGACCCGGTCAGGTCTGACTTGACCCGGGACATTTTAACGTGCAGAAACATGAGAACATGGCGGATTATCTGATCTTGACATGCACCCGGTCGGGTGGGCACTTGACCCGGTCGGGTACCCGGCCAAAGGTGTTGAAAAACACCTATAAATAGCCTCATTTTCCTTCACTTTTAACAATTCCTTCTTCCATACTCTTAAGCTCAGTTTAGAATAGTATTTCTTTTATATTTTTATAGCATGTTTAGTCTCCAAATGAGGAGCTAAACTTCCATTTATTGGTGTTGCTCTTGAAGCTTGTTGATTATTAAAGTTGTGAGTTATTTTCTTAACTTCTTTCCTTGAATATTATTTCTTCCTTTAAATACTATTTCTATATCAATGTTGGGGAGTGTTACTAAGATGACAATTAGTTAACATCTTGACATTAGTTATAGTAGTATTTATTTTCTTCCTCTATATATTAATGTTGGGGAGTGTTGCTAAGATGACAATTAGATAACATCTTGACATTAGTTATAGTAGGATTATTCATATTTAGTCTTCTTCTTTGAATATTAATTCTTCCCTTAATCTATCTCTATGTTAATGTTGGGCAGTGTTGCTAAGATGACAATTAGTTAACATCTCAACATTAATTACTACTAGAAACGTTCAACGAACCGATGGTTAATCATTGATGGTTTCACAAGTAAGTAACTTCGGTTTATTAATGCACGGTCGTGGTTAATAAACTTAAGAGGGATTAATTTTGTTAGTTAAACCGAAACCGTTGTGTTGAGGTTATCAATCTCAATTGATTTTATCAAGGAGTTAAGAGATCAAATGCTACTATCAAGTCGGTATATGACGGTGTTCTATACTTGACTAATAGTAAGGGTTATTAATGAACGGTCGTTGTTAATAACTACCCTCGATGAATTGGATATACTCCTCGATTGAGTATTGGAGAGGAGATAAGTTATAGATATAACAATGATCGACTAAAATATATCAACAAGTGGAAAGTAGCAATGCCAAGTCCTTTTTATCTTTTAATTAAATCTCATATAAGTCTTTCATCTTAGTATTTAATTAATTAAATTCCAACAATACCAAAACCCCCCTTATTTACTAGTTTTACTAAAAAGAGAATTATTCATTTCCCTGTGGATACAAACTCTACTTCACCTATACTACGTATAAGTGTTAGTATTGAATTTTATTTTGACGCACCAAGACAAAGTGCTCGTCAATATGTTATTTTGTGAAGTATATAATTTAAGTGTTCAAAATAATACCCCGTATTTTTTGTCCGATTTTTTGTAACAGATACCATATTATACACGTATACGTATTTACCCGTTTTTTAAAAGTCAACGTTTTTTTCAACGAATTTTAGACCGTTTTTTCTTTAATATTACCGAATAAAACGCGTACGTATTAAAACCCGTTTAATTCCCATACCGTATTTAATTAACTAGGATATATGTTCGATTATACATACATATTTTTCTGCCCATCTCATTAGCTTGAGATAACAGTTTAATAATGTCATGTGATCCATATTTAATTTACAGACCAAAATACCAATTTCAATTCTTTCGACGATATACCTCAAATATGTGGCAATCATCCAATAGTGATACAAATCTCAACATATATGATATACGTACCACAAACAATATAATGATTTGAATGATAGATTGGTAAAACAGTTTAAAATTACACCAAAAATATCTGATTTGAATGATAGATTGGTAAAACAGCTCAAAATTACAATACGTAAGTTTTAAAATAGAAATTTATATATCAAAATGTCAACACAGATGAAAGAAATAATACCATAATCGTATTCAATACTAAAATAAGACGGTCCAGAAACACAAATACGACACACTAAAAATACGGGCCTGAAGATATCACAACCGAGATAGGAACAAAATGTATTATATATACTCAAATAGGACAGAAATCATCACATCCTCTTAGATGTTGGGATCCATTGGCGGAGCCAGGAGTTAGTGTCAGTGGTGTCCATAATTTAGCAAAACAATATTATATAATAATGTGTACATATATAAAGCAAAAAACCAAATATTGTTATTAGTAAAATTAAAGTACTAATTCACAACTGTCCACGACGTGTTTTTCATATTTTGAAAACGTTGTACAATATTTTCTTTGTCAACACTTTTGAATATATCTTTTTCAATAAAAGTAACAAAGGCATCATTCATCATATCATCTCCCATTCTATTGCGCAACCTGTTCTTCACGAACTTCATGGCTGAGAAAGCTCTTTCCACAGTTGTGGTGGCCACCGGTAATTAAAAGCAAAGCTAATTTCACAAGTAAAAAAACTAATGGATACAAAATATGTTTCTTTGTCTCCACCAATTTTTGAGCAAGAGAACCAACTTCTGTAATATCTATAAATGCAGAGTTGGAGCGCCCATCAAGAATAAAAGTTTCAAGTTGACTGTCAAGAGCAAGAACATCTACCGGTGAAAAGTCAAATGGATATAATCAAGACATGCGAATCAACTTGTCCTTTTCAAAAGATGAAAAAGTGTCTTTAGGACTAAAACAAGCCACACAAAGAAGCAATTATGTAGTAATCTCTGTGAATCGATTGTTCAACTCCTCGCGTTGTCTATCCACCACAACATAGAACAAGTCCACTTTGTAACGATGTAAGTTTGTGATTTGGATAACTTTGCGACGGACTCTCCCATGAGGTACATAAAAATCATTCATACTTGGAATTGAAATTTTATTCTTTTCAAAAAAAAAGAAGAAACTTCACCAAAGAGAATATCCAATTCTCCGTCTCTTAAATTTTGCAATCGTTCTTTGGCAACTTTAACCAATTCCCTAGCATTAACAATACCTTGATCCTTTCTTTGCAAACATTTTGACAACTCATTTGCTATTCCAAGAACACTCTTTATCAAGTGTAAGGTGAAAACAAAATCAAAACATTGGACCAATTGCAAGAGTGTTTGAGCTTCAACTCGTTCATAATTTGAACCATGTTCAGCCACATTCTCAAGCACATCACGGATAGACGAAAACAAGATAATAATGTTGAGACACGTACCATAATGAGAACCCCTTCGTGTATCACCGGCACGTTTGAGGCTACGCTCTTGATGTAATCCTTTTCCACTACAAATCTCGCCATTATTTAATGCCTCAACAACTCTAATAGCTTGACTCCCTTTGAGCATCTCATACTGTTTGCATGAAGCTCCAACAACATTTAGTAAAGAGCATATGTTTTGAAAAACAGAAGCAACACAATCTTCACTTTTTGCAACGGCTACACGAGTTAATTGAAGTTGGTGAGCAAAACAATGAACATAAAATGCACACTCATTTTCCTTCAAGATTAAACTTGTCAAACCATTGAATTCACCACTCATGTTGCTAGCCCCATCATAACCTTGTCCTCGTAATCTAGAAAACCTCAATCCGTGCTTGGATAATTCAGAATCAATTGCTTTTTTCAAAGACAAAGCACTAGTTTCACACACATGCACAATACCTAAAAATCTTTCAATAACACAACCTTTCTTGTTCATGTAGCGCAAAACAAGAGCCATTTGTTTCTTGTATGACACATCACAAGACTCATCAACCAATATTGAAAACAAATCATCTTTCAAATCATCAATTATTGCTCTTAAAGTCTCTCTAGCACAAACATTCATAATGTCATTTTGAATATCATGAGAAGTCATCTTCAAATTTTTTGGAGCATTATTCAAAACAACATTATGAATGTCTTCATTATGATTTGCTAGAAAATTTAAGAGTTCAAGAAAATTCCCTTTATGACCTCGAAAAGCTAGCCCTTGACACAAGAGGAACTGAATACAATCAATGGAAGCAATCAATCTCGTACGATATTCAGTTCAAGCTTGTGATAATGGGATCCCTCTAAGAAACAAGCCCACAATCATCTTCAAAATTTATTGGATAACAGGGCGATGAAACAAATGCATAATCGTCCAATGTGGAAAAACGAGAATTTTTTAAAATTTTAGGTACGATCCATATCATTCAATAATTATATGGTCGGATAAGGAGCAACAGTCCACAAGAGACTTTAACGACAAGCATGGAACATCATCAAATGAACATTCACGGAGGACAACATAAGAAAGTGGACTAACGGTATGATTGTACGGCCGATTGAAAGTGACGAGTGAAAATGGGAAATTATATATGGGGTTTCTAGGTTAGAGTCAGGGGCGTAGTCAGGACACTGAGCTAGACTGGACCGGTACAAAGAATATTATTGGAAAAAGAATTACACGAAATTTTTTACACTAAAAATATTGACATTTTTCAGATTTGGGGTGGGCCAGGGCCTAGCCTGGGCACCCCTAGCTCCGCCCCTGGTTAGAGTTGTTGGGTAGGATTAACTGACATGTAGTTAGAGAGGCTTCTAACACAGTTGGGCTAGGCTAGTTAGAGAGGTGTTTTAAATGATGGGTATTCTTACACGGACTTGAGATGCTTGCATTGAGTTTAAAATTATATATTCTTACTTTTACAAATATAATTATAATAATAATTATGTAAATTATGTTATATGGTGGTTAAGAAGCTGTTCCGTTCATCTTAATCTTATTACTTATTCCTTAATCTTATTTTATTCAGATCAAATCAGATCAGATCAGAAAGATTCAGATCAGATCAGATCAGATCAGAAAGATTCAGATCAGATCATATCAGATCAGAAAGATTCAGATCAGATCAGAAAGATTCAGATCAGATCAGCAATATTCAGATCAGATCAGAAAGATTCAGACCAGATCAGACCAGATCAGAAACATTCAGATCAGAAACATTCAGATCAGATCAGATCAGATCAGATCAAAAAATTCAAACATGATTTATCACTTTTATTATTATATTAATTATGATTATTATATTATAGTTATTGTTAATAATATTAATATATTAATATAATAATATTATTAATAATAATATAATAATAATGTAAATAATATAAAATTATTATTATATTAATATAATATAATATAATATAATATAATATAATATAATATAATATAATATAATATAATATAATATAATATAATATAATATAATATAATATAATATAATATAATATAATATAATATAATATAATATAATATAATATAATATAATATAATATAATATAATATAATATAATATAATATAATATAATATAATATAATATAATATAATATAATATAATATAATATAATATAATATAATATAATATAATATAATATAATATAATATAATATAATATAATATAATACAATATAATACAATATAATACAATATAATACAATATAATACAATACAATACAATACAATACAATACAATACAATACAATACAATACAATACAATACAATACAATACAATACAATACAATACAATACAATACAATACAATACAATACAATACAATACAATACAATACAATACAATACAATACAATACAATACAATACAATACAATACAATACAATATAATACAATACAATACAATACAATACAATATAATACAATACAATATAATACAATATAATACAATACAATATAATATAATATAATATAATATAATATAATATAATATAATATAATATAATATAATATAATATAATATAATATAATATAATATAATATAATATAATATAATATAATATAATATAATATAATATAATATAATATAATATAATATAATACAATATAATACAATGTAATACAATATAATACAATGTAATACAATGTAATACAATGTAATACAATGTAATACAATGTAATACAATGTAATACAATGTAATACAATGTAATACAATGTAATACAATGTAATACAATGTAATACAATGTAATACAATGTAATACAATGTAATATAATATAATACAATATAATATAATATAATACAATATAATATAATATAATATAATATAATATAATATAATATAATATAATATAATATAATATAATATAATATAATATAATATAATATAATATAATATAATATAATATAATATAATATAATATAATATAATATAATATAATATAATATAATATAATATAATATAATATAATATAATATAATATAATATAATATAATATAATATAATATAATATAATATAATATAATATAATATAATATAATATAATATAATATAATATAATATAATATAATATAATATAATATAATATAATATAATATAATATAATATAATATAATATAATATAATATAATATAATTATAATTATTATTATGATTTACAATGTAATTATAATTATAATCATCATTGTTATTAATATGATTGTTGTTCTTGTTGTTAATTTTGTAATTATTATTACTTCGGAGTAATTATATATTTAAATTAGTAATTATAGATATAATTATGATTATAGAGATAAATATTATAATTATAATTACAAAAAAAAATAATTATAAAATTAATCATAATTGAAAATATAATTACATTTATAATTGTATCTGTATTTATAATTAGTGTAATTGGTATAATTATTATAATTTTAAATTTAATTTTAATTATTATTTTTTTATAATTATGATTATAATTGTAATTTTATTTAAGTTATATTTTTAATTACAATTATAAATCTAATAATTATCATTATAATTACAATTATAGAAATATTCAAAACAGATCAGAAAGATTCAGATCAGAAGAATTCAGATCAGATCAGAAACATTCAGATCAGATCAGAAACATTCAGATCAGATCAGATCAGATCAGCAACATTCAGATCAGTTCAGCAACGTTCAGATCAGATCAGAAAGATTCAGATCAGATCAGAAAGATTCAGATCAGATCAGATCAGATCAGAAAAATTTAGATCAGATCAGATCATATCAGAAAAATTCAGATCAGATCAGATCAGATCAGAACTTAAAAAATTCAGATCGGAAACATTCAGATCAGGTGAACGGAACAGCTTCTAAACTTATATTTATTATTTCACTATGCAGCTAAAAAGGAGTAATATTGTAATACTCATCAAAAATATAATAATATTTATTATATATTTGCACAGAAAATTTTCATCAAATTGGCGAAAACACTCATCTAGCAAATTTTCATCCATGATACAAGGTCTCTAAATATTTTAGTAGATCGATAAAGCAAATGGTAATAATATTGTAATCAGATCATTTGACAAAAACAATAGTTAAGTTTTTTAGTTTAAAACCTTAACTTAATACAATATCAAATTCTTGGGTTGTTCAACAAGAGCATTAATCCATACATAATCTATTCTCTATCTTCTATCTGCATATAAAAGAAAGAAGAAAAAGGGTTCATTTTCCCGCTCAAAACGCGGGTAAAAATCGGGTCAATCAGGTCAATTAAAACAATATTACCAATATATGTATAAGATCTTAGATTTTGAACCATATGAATAATACTAGTTATTTTTACGCGCGTTGCGCGATTAGGTAAATGTCCAATGTTTTTTTTTTCAAAATATGTATATTTATTTTGATTTGAAAATAATTTTTATTAGCGTTTGTAATACTACAGTTGAGAAATAAGTCTCCACATTTTAGTGAACAATTGTTTCAATTCCTAATAAAGATAAACCGGAGAACAGTCTATAATGTTGTGTAATATATGTAGTATACGATGTTTTTTTCAAGACTTATTGCAAATGTGTTGAAAGGAATTTTTGGATACATTGGACACCATATCTCGTGGCTATTTATTTACCCATTTTAACATGAAACTTGTACAAAGTCTTATTTTTTTGCAATTACAGTATATTCAAACAGAAAAACATTTATAAACAAATCTATTGCCCGCTGGAACTTAGAAAAAATAGATGATGACAGAAGGATACGTGAAAATAGAATGGGGGCAACCTTTCATGTACACTTGAACCAAAATATTATGTTATTTACACTAAGAATATAAGTAATCGAATTTGATAAATACATAAGTTAGAGTTTATTAGGTGTTTAAAAAATTAGTAATAAAAGCACCCGCTAACTAAATTGAGTTTCCTAACACATTCAATCTTCTAATTGTTTATCTAATTAAGACAACATTCTAACTTCTAAGGGAAACTTTAAAACATCAAAAAACCATGATCGGGAACAAATGTTCTTCTTCTAGACACCAGATCTACTTCAATACGAAGTATTTTAAAAGTTCATCTTCCTTTCCAAATATTTCTTAGGATGAGCTAGTTGTTTTATCCTTAAAACACTAATCTAACATAGCAAATCCAATATTAACCCCTATTTCAAAACAATAGATGGACAGAGAAGTTAATGAGGTGGAGATCCTGGTTGTCATATCACTTGAATACTTATTTACCTCATTTTAACAGGAATGCATAGAAACAGGAATGCTCATCCATTTTAAATACAGCAAAGTAGCTTTGCTCATTCAACTGGGTTTAACAGGAAGCCACCGATAATAAGACAAATATACAAGTGTGCAAATCCATCACATTATTTACATTTATTGTGAAAAACTGTTAATTCTAACCAATGAAGTAGATGGATCATGGAT